CTGTTACCTGACAATTTCACTTTTAGGTATAGATCCAAATAGATCAAAGAAAAGTTTTTGTTCTCCCTGGTGGTCTAATGGTTGAGGGGGTGAAAGGCTCTTCTACATTTATCACAGGAGACATGTACAAGAATGTTCACAGCAGCATTATTCACAGTAGTAAAAACCTGGAAGCAACCCAAATATCAATTATGAGAAACCAGGCAAATGTAGTATATTTACAAACTGGAATATAATAGTCTAAATGAATGAATGACAGCCATAAAATACGGTTGAATCTTATGTGTGTTACACTAAGTCTCAAAAGATTACAAGGACATAATTTTTTCCATTGTAATAGGCTTTATTTATTTTTTTCTCCCCACAGCCAAGGGTACACTTGAGAGTTGTTGTTGTTCTTTTTTTTTTTGAGACCGAGTTTCGCTCTGTTGTCCAGGTTGAAGTGCCACTGCAATCTCCTCCTCCTGGGTTCAAGCGGTTCTCCTGCCTCAGCCTCCGGAGTAGCGGATTACAGGTGCCCACCACCATGCCTGGCTAATTTTTGTATTTTTAGTAGAGAGGGGTTTCACCATGTTGGTCAGGCTGGTCTTGAACTCCTGACCTCAGGTGAACAGCCCGCCTCGGCCTCTCAAAGTGCTGGGAGGCATGAGCCACCATGTTCAGCCTCTATAAGTAAATAAGTAAATAAGTAAAGTAAACAGACTTTACTTATTAGAGCAGTTTTAGGTTTATAGAAAAATTGTGCATAAAGTACAGAGTTTTCACATACCTCTCCCCCACTACAAACCTAGTTTCCCCTGTTATTACTATTTTATATTAGTGTTAATAAGTGTATCAATTAATAATTGATACATGGACTTCAAGTAATCATACTGTATCAATATTGGCTCATCAGTTCCAACAAATATACAACTGATGAACTAATATTGATACATTATGATTAACTGAATTCCATAGTTTACAATAGGACTCACTTTATGTGGCACAGTTCTATGGGTTTTGACAAATGCATAATGTCACGTATCCACCATTAGCGTATCACACTGAATAATTTCACTACCAGTAAAAATGCCCTGTGTTCCACCTATTCATCCCTCTCTCCTTCCCCTCACCTCTGGCAACAACTGAGTTTTGCCTTTTCCCAAATGTCATATAAAGTTGTAGTGTATACAGCCTTTTCCAATGGGCTTATTTCACTTAGTGATATACATTTAAGATTCCTACATGTCTTTTTGCAGCTTGATAGCTGTTATTAGTCCATTTTCACAATGCTGATAAAGACACCCAAGACTGGGAAGAAAATGACGTTTAATTGGACTTACAGTTCTACATAGCTGGGGAGGCCTCAGAATCATGCCACTGGCAAATAAAATGAGGAAGATGCAAAATCAGTTGCAAAATCAGAAGTGCCTGATAAAGCCATTGATCTTGCGGGGCATGGTGGCTCATGCCTATAATCCCAGTACTTTGGGAGGCAGAGGTGGGTGGATCACCTGAGGTCAGGAGTTCAAGACAAGCCTGACCAACATGGAGAAACCCCATCTCTACTAAAAAGTACAAAATTAGCTGGGCGTGGTGGTGCATGCCTGTAATCCCAGCTATTCAGGAGGCTGAGGCAGGAGAATCGCTTGAACCCAGGACGCAGAGGATGTGGTGAGCTAAGATTGCGTCATTGCACTCCAGCCCAGGCAAGAAGAGCAAAAATCCATCTAAAAAAAGAAAGAAAGAAAAAAAAAAAAAGCCAGGCCCGGTGGCTCACACCTGTAATCCCACCACTTTGGGAGGCTGAGGCGGGCAGATCACGAGGTCAGGAGATTGAGACCATCCTGGCCAACACAGTGAAACTCCATCTCTACTAAAAAAAAAAAAAAAAAAAATGGGCTGGGCGTGGTGGCGCACACCTGTATTCCCAGCTACTTGGGACGCTGAGGCAGGAGAACTGCTTGAACCCAGGAGGCAGAGCTTGCAGTGAGCCGAGATTGCACCACTGCACTGCAGCCTAGGCGACAATGTGAGATTCCACCTCAAACAAAACAAAACAAAAAAGCAAACAAAAAACAACCCATCAGTTCTCATGAGACTTATTCACTACTACGAGAACAGTATGAGGGAAACCATCCATGATTCAAATTGTCTCCCACCAGTCCCCTCCAACAACACATGGGAATTATGGGAGTGCAATTCAAGATGAGGTTTGGGTAGGGATACAGAGCCAAACCACATCAATAGCTCTTTTTAACAAAAATCGCTGAACAGTATTTCACTGCATGCATGCACCACTTTGTACCACAGTTTAGCCACTCACTTAATCAAGGACATCTTAGTTGCTTACGCTTTGGGATGGTTATGAATAAAGCTGCTCTAAACATTTGTGTGCAGGTTTTTATGTAAACATGCAGGTTTTTATGTAAACATCTCAGCTCATCTGGGTAAGTACCTAGGTGTTATGTTTAGTTCTGTAAGGAACAGACAAACTGTCCTCCAAAGTAGCTATAACATTTTGCAGTCCTACCAGCAAAGAATGATATTTCCTGTTGCTTTACATCCTCATCAGCATTTGGTGTTGCTAGTGTTTTGGATTTTAACCATAATAATTTCACTATCAGTAAAAATGCCCATTTTAACCATTCTAGTGTATAATGGGCACATTCTTTTTATTGTTAAAAAACAATTCAAATAGACATGTATATACATATGATTTTTAGGACTATATATATGTGGCATAAAACCTTGTAGAAGGAAAGCAAGAAATAGTAAAGACAGGATTCAGAAGGATGGTTACCTCAAGCGAAGGCAGGGGTGTGTATTAGTGTGTATGGGAGGTATAGTATAGGTACAGATATAAACTCATGTCATTTTAACTTTTCTTTTGCTGTGGTGGGTCTATGGCTATAATTAGACTAAATTAATAAATGTGGGTGAGGTAAACTGAATAATGGCCCACCAAAGATTTCTATGTCCTAATTTCCAGAATTTGGGAATATTTTGCTAAAAGGGATTTTGCAGATGTGATTAAGAATCTTAAGATCTTCATCTTAAGGCAGGGCACAGTGGCTCATGCCTGTAATCCCAGCACTTTGGGAGGCCAAGGTGGGCAGATCCCCTGAGGTCAGGAGTTCGAGACCAGCCTGATCAACATGGAGAAACCCCGTCTCTACTAAAAATACAAAATTAGCCAGGTATGGAGGCGCATGCCTGTAATCCCACCTACTTGAGAGGCTGAGGCAGGAGAATCGCCTGAACCTGGGAGGCAGAGGTTGCAGTGAGCCAAGATCGTGCCATTGCCCTCCAGCCTGGCAACACAAGAGCGAAATTCCATCTCAAAAAAAAAAATCTTGAGATGAGATAATCTTGGCCCAAAGGAATCACAAAAGGTGCTTATAAGTGAAAAGGGGTGGCAGGAGAATCACAATTAAGACAGATTATGTAAGTACAGAAGAACAGAGAGAAGATAAGATACTATGCTTCTGACCTTGAAGATGAAGGGGCCAAGAGCCAAGGAATGCAGGCAGCCTTTAGAAGCTGGAAAAGGCAAGGAACCAGTCCTGCCAACACCTTGATTTTAGCCCAGTGTAACTGATTATGAACTTCTGACATCTAGAATTGTAACATAAATTCCTGTTGTTTTAAGTATCTAAATTTGCAGTAATTTGTTACAGTGTCAATAGGAAACAGACAGTGGGTCAGGCATGGGTTAATGAATTGAATTATAATTAAATCCAATTTTACACCTAGGTCCAATTAAAAAAATAGACAAGCCTGGGCGCAGTGTCTCATACCTGTAATCCTAGCAGTTTGGGAGGCAGAGGTAGACGGATCACTTGAGGTGGGTAGTTTGAGACCAGCCTGACTGACATGGAGAAACCCCGTCTCTACTAAAAATACAAAATTAGTCGGGCGTGTGGCACATGCCTGTGCTACTCGGGAGGCTAAGACAGGAGAATTGCTTGAACCCGGAAGGTGGAGGTTGCCGTGAGCCGAGATCGCGCCACTGCACTCCAGCCTGGGCAACAAGAGCGAAACTCGGTCTCAAAAAAAAAAAAGACCAAATCTTTGAGTGGCCCCTCACTGCCTGGAAGGTAAAGCTTAATTTCCTCAGCATGAAATAGATTCTTGACAACCCGGTTCCACAAAGTCCTCTCTAGCTTTAATTCCCTAACCCCTATCCCCAACCCAAAAATTTTAGCCATGGGTTCTGACCTCCGAGCCCTTTTGCTGTTCCCGCGTACTCTTACGGGGCTCAACTCCTTTGCCATGTCTCTGTGAAGTCTTTCAGGTTGAAATTTCCTCCCTGAAAATGGACAACATTAGGAGTTGCTGCATGGTTGACTCTGTTTACAAGATTAGGGCTCAGAGGCACCCACAGGCACCGCCACTTGCAGAGGTCCTCCATACATGTCGGCAGAACCAACTCTTAAGGCATTACTAACTGGGGCAGTTAAGTTCTGCCAACGGGCTGAAAGATTTTTCTTCATCACCACTCTTCACTAAGCTACAAGAGCAAGTACTTTCTCCTGAAGGTACTTAGAGGAGGAAAAAAGCACAGCAGGAACTGTTGTGGGGGGTGAGAAGACAAATTCTACAGGGTTGCAGAGCTAATGTGAACATGGCTTCCCTCATCTTCATGCATAACTGCGTTCCTAGCTCACACGACTGATGTCCGTAAACACAACCTTAGGTCTGTGCACGTCTCTGTCCAAGGATTTTTTTTTTTTTTAAACTCCAAGATTATGGGGGGAGTTGGGCAAGTCACTATAAGGAAGGACTGCTCTTCTTACCCCACTGTCTGACGAGATACTGGATAGGGAAACCTCTGAAACTTGTAAAGCAATTTACAAGCAGGCCACCTGCTTGTATTTAATAAGCTAGAAATACCTATTTGCGCGAAAACGTGTCCCAAAGACTCCTCAGCCCCTCTGGATCCCCACCAGGCCCGCGTCTCTCCCGCCCGTCGCGCGAAGCGGCGGTTGACGAACGCCGGCCAGCGGTTCTGCTGAACGCAGGAGGGCCGGACGAGCCTCCTGGCTCGGACACCACGCGGAGACAGAGCGCTGCCAGAGCCGCAGTTGAAGAAACCGCTCTCGGGCTGGACGAAGGCGGAGCAGCAGCTCAGGCTGGGCCAACAGAAGAGCCTTACAATACCTGGAGCAGTCCGAGGACAGCCCCCGGCGCGAGGCACTCTGGGACTTATAGTTCGCTTCCCAGACAGCGCTTTTTCCCACTTGGTCTCCCTGCCTTTCAATGTCGCTTTTATTCTTCCCTTACCCTCCGAGCCCGCAGACTTCCTGGTCGCCGCACGTCCTCACGTATGACTACACTACCCAGAAGTCCCCTTTTCGCGTCCCAGCGTGGGCGGGCGCTGGCGGCTCCTCTGGACTACAGGTCCCAGAAGTCCTCTGCAGAAGTGCTTCCCTCTCTCATTTCCAGGACCACAATTCCCAGAGACTTCGGCTTCACAGCGTTACTCTTTTTGCCCTATCTCTCCTGGAGCTGGCTGGGCTTTGGCCGGCCAGAGGCCCACAGCGACGACGTGATCCGTCGTGAGCGGGCCCCAGGGTTTCCTCGGCGGCCCTTTTTTCTCTCCCTTCGGTCGTCTCCCTTGCAGGCCGTCGCGGCTGGCCTGAGCGGTGACCTGGCGGGCCGCGCCTGCGCTCTGCCCGGTTTCCTGCCTGGCTGGTGGCGGCGGCCATTTTGTTCATCCTCCTCCTCCTCCTGCTCCTCCTGGTTGGAGCGCAGTGTCCGGAGCGGGCTGGGGGGAGAGAGCCCGAGAGCAGGGTTCGGTGCCTTTTCCTCTGTCCCCAGCCGGTGCCCAGAGCCCCCCTCCCCTTCCTCCCCACCCCCTCCCCTCCCCAGCCCTGCCCTCCCCCTTGTCCCGGGATCGCTCCGTCGCACCCACCATGATGGAAGACGACGGGCAGCCCCGGACTCTGTGAGTACCCGAGACGAGGGGTGCCAGGCGCCAAGAGGCCCGGGCACCGCGGGACGCTAAGGGAGGGAGCAGGAGAGACTGGGCGGAAGCCGGGACTCTAGGCGGCTCCCTGACCAGGGCGGCGTGGACGCGGAGTGCATTCCTCATCTGTCCCCTTTTCCTTGGGAAGGAAATCCTCCCTTCCCCCAAACACAGTCACTTCCTGGGGTCTGGGGCTTGTCTCGACCCTTCTCTCTGGCGCCCTTCTTTGCACACCCTCCCTAGGCCGGGTTTCTGCACGGTTGAAGCTGTCAGGCCCAGGAGAGCTCCTGCACCCTCTCTGCGTTGGACACCCTGGGCTGGGCCTGGAGCTGCGGGTCCCCTCGGGGGAAGGGCCTGGCGGGGGTGGGATTGGGATGGGCCCCGTGGGCCAGGAGGAATTAGTACTCACCCCTTCCACGTCTCAGCTCCAGTCGCTCCCGGCTCTTCTCCCCAGCTAAGCTCTCGGAGGAAGCAGGACACTCTTCCACCACTCAAGCCCCTTCTCTCTTTCTGCCCCACGTGCCCCCGCCCACACTGTCATAAACACCCGCCTAGCGCCCGCTACTTTTGAAGTGCATAAGGGATACCTTTTGCTGCCCGAGCATCTTTCTCTTCTTAGATAAAGAAGTTTACTTTGAGCGCTCCCTACGCTAAACTGACAACCAGTTGTTAAACTCCTTTTGCTCTCTTAGTGTTGCCTCTTCCTAATCTGTTTGTGCATCGAAACCTTCAGAGTGGCTAAAATTATGTCTTCATCTGCTATTAGATGTGTGTCTTCCGAACGCTTTTTCTCCTGTCTTGCTGTTGCTTTTTACCTGAAGCCCAATCTAATGAATGAGTCCCATCTTCCAGCCACTTAATTCTGGTTTCCTTCCTTTCCCAATGAAGAGTGATGACTCAGCATTTGCATTCTTTTCTGGATATTGTGGCACTCTTTTCTTCTGCATTTTTTTTAAAGTCTGAATAATTTTTAATTAAATGTTTACATTGGGCACCCTCAGTTTCCTGGCCTCTCCAGGCTCAGCACTCCTGCCTTGAGTACCAAGGAGTCAAATCACTGCTTTGTTTCTCTTGCCTCTCCTGGTATCATGGGATCATAGTCCACTTGGCTCTGCTGTCTGATGGGAAAATTACTTTTTAGGGAATAGATGAAGGTGCATGGGCGCTCCACTTTCATCTAGTTTGACTAGCTTCACATCTCTTCACTCCTCCCAAAGAAAAGATGCTCAGTAAAAAAGATAGATGTTCAATATTGATAGAGATTTTTTTTGTGGCCTTGTGCAGGAATAACCCTGTTCTCTAACATCTCGCTAAAGCACCTACCCTGTTTTGACAATTTGAGGCCGACTGAATGAAACGCCTACTTAATAAATAGAACGCCTAAATTTGTGTTTTGTGTTGTCTTCCATTTCTGCCTTCTCTCCCTAGAAGAAAGAATTGGGACACACTTGAAATTTGTCCTTCAACATCTGTTGAAGCCAAGGCTTGGTGTTGAGTTAGCAATGTGTACTTTGATGTAAGCATCTGGGAAAGCTAGACTTAAAGACTAGCTAACATGTGCTTAACAAAGATAAAAGTTACATTGTATCTAAAAATCTGAAATGTCATCATCACATACTGAATGATTGATGAATACTCATGGCAGGGGTCTCATTTTCTATCTGTTCCTTACCAAGGGGAACCTCTGGTTTTGTAGTGCTAAAGAATGTGCTTTTTCAATGTCTTTTATCCTTGCATCTGCCTGGTCTTCATCCCTATCAGATGACTTTCTCCAAGAGGCTAATAAGTTAACTTCTTTGTAACTTATTTCCTACCTCTACTTTCTCTAATCTCTTGTTCTTTCTTTGAAACACAGTTGTCTGTGTTTACAGTTCTCTAAAACTGTGACATGTGTTCGTATGAGTGAGTAAACATCTTAAGCTCTGTTGTTCCTGTATGTCAGTTCGTGTTTGCTATTCTGTCTTCCTTTTTCCTTCTCTCACTCTTTTCAATGGGGACTTTTTTTTTTTTTTTAAGACAAGGACTGCTACATCTTCCTAGGTCTTACCCCTGCAGCACTTAGTTCACTGCCTGGAACATAAGAGGTACTCAGTATTTTTACAAAGATTGTACTTCCTTCATTAAATTAGTATTAAGTTCTTTTTTAAAAGTCCTGGTTGAACTAAGATTGTAGGCAGACATTGTCACACGTGGTGCAGTCTGTTGTCTTTTATATATTTTTAAAAACCTTCAAATGTAAAATCTTGAGATAAAAGCAAATGTTTCACAATTGGGATTTTTTTAGAGTTTAATACAAATAATGCATAGTAGTTTTTCTAAGTGTACGTTTTACATGTTCTTAAAAGGTTCTGTTAGATACAAGTAACATGATGTAAACTTTGAATGTGATTTTAGGGGTTGATATCTAGTAGGATTTTATTTTGCTTATGGAGATCTTATATTTTGCATTGTGAGCTATGGATTAGGTTTTTCAAGTGGCCAGTATGTTTTAAAAGAATGTATTCTTAACAAAGCTTATCTTAAATTGTTTCCTTAAGATGCCTGTGTGTTACTAGTGAGGTTTTTTTCCTGCAGACACACACAAGCTAAGACATATGGTTCTATCTTCAGAAAACAATATGGTGTTTATAGCCTAGGTAGGTCTTTAAATATTCATTACCTACAGTATTACTTATTTATTTGATGGTATTTAAACTGGCATAGAATTGCTTTGATGTTGAGCCTAAATTTCTGTTTGTCATATAGTTGCTTGAAAGGTCTGTTTTCTGACGTTCTTCATTCTCATTTGACATTTATTTTGGGGTATTATGTATTGAGTAACTTGTGATCTAAAAAAACAAACAGGATCATGCTGTGTAATACCGGTGTTGGAACTGGACTGCCTGACACCTGACTTGTGGGACACACGTTTCAGGGTTGGGTTGTGTGTAGCTTTGTAGTGCAGTGATTTGATCCATGGTATATCTGAATCTACAATATGACACTAAATTGTAAGAGTGTTTCATTGTAGCTTATTTTAGTTTCTTCATCTATCTGAGGCTCCAAAATTACTGGAAATTGGTATAATACCACGTTATGTAATCCCTTCCTTTAACGCTATTCTTTCTTCTGGAAATAAGCTAATGATTTAGAGTATAATCTGAACATCTAAGAGCAAAGCAGAAGAAAATTCTATAAAATGTTACAAAATTGACTGGCTATACCATGGATTTGGCTATACTGTGGCTATAATCAAGCCCCTCAAATTCAACTTAATCATATTCTGTTTATTTAAAGTGAGAGAGTGAGAGTGTGTGTGTGTGACTATCTCGTATATATAGTTGGTCAATTTAGTTGTACCTCCTCCAGCTATCTTCCATCATGCCTCCTTCCTGAAATGAAATACTGAAATACTGTACTGACAAATAAAATAATTAATTAGAGATCTATTGAAGGATATTATTGCAAAATCTCTTCTTGTATAGGACTTGTCAAGAACAAAAGCAAAACTGTTACTTTTATGGAAATTTAGCTATAGTGTTTTGTGTGAAAGTGCTGATAATTTCAGCCTTGGTAGGACTACTGTTTTCAGAGTGAGAGCACATTCAGTGTTGAAAAAGTGTCATTAGTCTTCTGAAAGGCATGATATTCTTAACTTAAAATTCTGCCCAGTTGGACACAGGAAGTAGTTTGGCAGTGTGAACTTCTGCCTACTGTGAATGAAACTGCTAAGTTTCTAGACTCAAATTGGATTTTAACCCTGATGTTAGGGATAAAGGTGTCATTTTCAGTTTTTAATGCTTCAGTTCCTACAGTTCCTGTTCTTAGAAGACAAAATAGACTCTAAGGTATGCCTCTTTTAAATTTTTTTCCTTGAGTTAAAAGTCATTTTGGAATTTCCTAAGTGTTTACTCTTTGAATTGAACTCTCAATACAAAAACTGGAGCCATTTGTCTTTTTTTCTGTTATTTTGTGTATGTTCTTTAGGTAGAAATTATATACTTAAAGACCTGGAACTTTAGAATAGGTTGATTATTTCATAACCAGAGCAGAAAGAAAGTGAAGTGTAGAAACTATAATTTGGAAAGAATAAAGATATCATTTCAATGAACTACCCAGAGATGATCTTACTAGGTCAGGCATTGAACTTTGTCTTAAATATTTTTGTCAGTATATACTTTGGGATAGATTATTTTATGATAATACAAAGGTACTTACAACAGAATAGTACAGTACTTTAAAAGCTATACAATATGTCTTTCTTAAGTATTATGATGCATGAAAGCACAGGTAAATGAAAAGGCAGTCTGAAATTTGGGTAAAAGTTAGGTGAAATTATATAATGAATCATGGCCTTTTAGTCCTGGTAAATTAAGATACTGTATGTGTTGTTATGGAAGGCCTTTTATGTTAGTTTTTGAAATTTAGTTTGCTACTTAACACTTTGTTAGTGGAGATAATTTGAAAAATAGGAAACCTTAACACGATTTTTTTTTTTTTTGAGATGGAGTTTTGCTCTATCGCCCAGGCTGGAGTGCAGTGGCACCATCTTGGCTCACTGCATCCTCCACCTCCTGGGTTCAAGCGATTCTCCTCCCTCAGCACCCTGAGTAGCTGAGATTATAGATGGGTGCCACCATGCCCAGCTAATTTTTTGTATTTTTAGTAGAGACGGGGTTTTACCATGTTGGTCAGGCTGGTCTCAAACTCCTGACCTTGTGATCCTCCCCCACCTTGGCCTCCCAAAGTGCTGGATTATAGGCATGAGCCTCTGCACCCAGCCAACACTGGATTTTTAAATAAATCATGACATTCTGAACTTAGATATTAACATTTTCATCTTTGACTTCAGTGCCAGAAATGTAAATTAATATATCTAAACATGCCTCTAGAAATTCTTCAAGATCTATAAATGATAGGAAATAGGTTGACTTGGAATAAAGATGATGATGACGATGATGATGATGATGATTTTTTTAACAGATGGAGTTTCACTCTTGCTGCCCAGGCTGGAGTGCAATCGTGTGATCTCAGCTCACTGCAACCTCTGCCTCCTGGGTTCAAGCAGTTCTCCTCAGCCTCCCAAGTAACTGGGATTACAGGCACCCACCACCATGCTTAGCTAATGTTTTGTCTGTTTAGTAGAGATGGGGTTTCACCATGTTGGCCGGGCTAGTCTTAAACTCCTGACCTCAAGTGATCCACCTGCCTCAGCCTCCCAGAGTGCTAGGATTATAGGTGTGAACTATCACGCCCATCAGAATAAAGATCTTATTAAGTAGTGACAGCTTTTATTGTGACTATTAAATACAGAAGGTAATTAATGCCCATACAATTTTTCCTGAAGAAATTGGTGTTCAAACAGTAATGCAAATTTAAAACTATTTAAATCATTTAAAATGTGTTATATTAAAATGATAATTCAATTTTAATTTTGTTACTAGCTAGCTTCAATATGTGAAAATCAGTTTTATTCTTCTTTTCTCTTAGAAATGAGCGAAGTAGCTCTTTAGGCAAGGAACATATTTAGAAACTCAAGATCACATGTTCATTTTTCTTACAGATAGGTCTACTCTGTACAAAAAGAAATCATTTTAGAGATACAGGCTCACAAACCCCTATGAATTAAGAAGAGACAAGCAGTCTATGGCTGTTTCATAATCCAATAACCTTTTCCCCTGCTGGGAAAAGTATGTCACTGCATTGGCCTGCTGATGGGTTAGCTCTTTAATTACGAGGAAAAGATGGCATAGTGGACCTAAACCAGTTTGTCACTTGTTTAGTCTTCTATTTAAGTAACATTGGATGTGAGTTTCAATTTTAGAGCAGGTACACTAAAGCTATTAGTATTCATTGCAATAAAATTCTTAACTGGAAACTTGCAAACTTGCTACTAATTCATTTTTTTTTTTTTTTGAAGACAGGGTTTCACCATGTTGGTCAGGCTAGTCTTGATCTCCCGACCTCAGGTGATCCGCCTGCCTTGGCCTCCAAAGTGCTTGCATTACAGATGTGAGCCACTATGCCCGGCCAGCTACTAATTCTTAATTGGATCTTTCCAGTTTTTTACTTAACCTAAGCTTTCTTGGTCTGTTTTCCCTTTGAGTATTCCATCTTAAAGCACACTGTGTATTTAATGTGACAACCATGTTGCAAGTCTTATTTTGGTCTTAATACTCAGTTTCCAGATGTTACATATTACAATTAGAAAAAGAAATTTACTTTCCAGAACAAACTTTGTTAAATTTTACAGATATTGTTTGGTTTATGAAGTTGTTCATGACAGATGCAAATTTGAGGAATTATGCATAGAACACCAGAAAGACTTGATTGGCAATTTATTGTGACAAATTAAGATAAATTGATAGTACAAGACATAAACCAAGGTGGTCAACTCTTCGTGGTGACATAGCCTTTTTCTTTTCTTTTTTAGACTTACCTGTATTTAAAATTCTTTACATGAAACACATACATTCAATTTGTGATTAGAAAAAAAAAAACAAACACATTTTTAAATGTCCACAGTCAGAAGTATGCCTGGATTTGTCTTAATCTTTCTCTGAATTTCTTAAGAAATCTTTGTATTTGCTTTTTTTAATCTACATTAAGATATATTTTGTTGGCTGGGCACAGTGGCTCACGCCTCTAATTCCAGCACTTTGGGAGGCCCAGGTGGGTGGATCACTCAAGGTCAGGAGTTCCAGACCAGCCTGGCCAACATGGCGAAACCCCATCTCTACTGAAAATACAAAAATTAGCCAGGCGTGGTGGCACATGCCTGTAGTCCCAGCTACCTGGAAAGCTGAGGCATGAGAACTGCTTGAACCCAGGAGGCAGAGGCTGCAGTGAACCCAAGTCGTTCCACAGTACTCCAGCCTGGGTGACAGAGTGAGACTCCATCTCAAAAATATGTATGTGTATATTTGTTGTTGTTGATTTTGATGCATTTTAGACTAGAGAATTTTTTTATTTTACCCTGCTCTCCTAAAATGAAACAGTGAAGACATCATTGCTAACAATCTGACTTTTAGCCAAAAACAAAACTACAAAAACCCTTCCACCCTCTGTGTGTTCTACTGTAACTTTAATTCTGTTCTTTGTTTGTGTAATTGCTTTGGTTGGGAATCTAAGATAAACTCACTTTATGTTTAATATCCTATTACAATCAGATGTTTTAATGACTTAGTATTTGTTATATTTGTGTGTGCATGTGTTATAAATTATTTTGAATTAGAAATTGTAGTTATCCTGAGACTGGTTTAAAATTTTAACAACTAGAATAAGTTGAGAAAATGATATCTAGGGTACAGAATAATATGCCGTTGAGCATATTATTATATCAAGAGCACATTGATTTGTTCTTTAAATGTTTTTTCAAAGTGGTATTTTAGTGGCCTAAGAATAATTGTTGCTTTCCTAAATAAGGGTTAATCTTACTTTCATAGGATCAGGCTTAACTGGAGAAATTTTATTGAAAATAGAGGAAGTTAAAATGAAATAAAAGGTAGCTGGGTGCAGTGGCTCACGCCTGTAATCCCAGCGCTTTGGGAGACAGAGGCAGGCTGATCACCTGAGGTGTCAGGAGTTTGAGACCAGCCTGACCAATATGATAAGACCCTGTCTCTGCTAAAAATACAAAAAATTAGCTGGACGTGGTGGCATGTGCCTGTAATCCCAGCTACTCTGGAGGCTGTGACAGAAGAATCGCTTGAACCTGGGAGTCGGAGGTTGCAGTGAGGCAAGCTCGTGCCATTGCACTCCAGCCTGGGCAACAAGAACAAAACTCCGTCTCAAAATAAATAAATAAATAAATAAAAGATGTTGAATTAAATGATAACACATTAGAGCCAGAGCTAAAGGAAAATTGCTGATAATGTGTTTTTTTCTTGTGCAGATACGTAGGTAACCTTTCCAGAGATGTGACAGAAGTCCTTATACTTCAGTTATTCAGTCAAATTGGACCCTGTAAAAGCTGTAAAATGATAACAGAGGTAAGATCTTCCCAGTTACACGTGCTGTCAACTAGCATGATGGGTTGATTATCATGATTTTAAAATTTCATTTTAAGCCTCAGGTTATTCTGGTGGAGAGATTTGTGTTGTGTTGACTTACTACTTTGATTTGGCTGGCACACGAGGCTTAGAATGGAGTTTTATTTGAGAGGGCAAAGTTTCTGTGCTGCTAATCTCAAACAGTCATCCTTCATGGTGTGGTTATCTTCAAGTGATTCTACTTTTAGAAAGTTATTAGAACTCATTTTAGAGTGGTGAAGAACTGGAAAGTATTTTATACAATTCCGATAAGAATGTTAACGATTTAGGCAGTATACATTCATGTATGAGTACACGAGGTTATTATGTGTATGTGCAGTGCCGTTCCTCTCGTGTCTGTAGCAAGTACTTCCCTTTTTATACTTTCCTGCTTAAGACTGTAGCAGTGCCCATGAATCATGTTTTAGGCTTTTCTTCCTTGTCTTTTTGTTCATTGATCAACTTTTTTATTTTTGGTCTATTTACTGTGTAACAGGTACTACAGTAAGTGTTAGAGATACACTGGTGAATAAAGATGGTTCCTTGGTCCACAGAATTTTACAGTCTAGTAGGGAGACAAAGGAGTTAGTAGGCACTTAGAATACAGGATAATAAATGCCCTAGAAGAAGACAACTTAAAGTGCTGTGGGAGCAAATGGGTATCTAGTGCAGCCTTGGGTCAGCAAGCAGCTTCTTGGGGGCGTCACTGCCTAGGCGGAAACCTAAAAGGATAGTAGTACATACTGGCTAGAAAGGAGTTGAGGACGAAGGGATTCCAAATACAGGGAGCGTTGATCCAGGCTGGGAGGCAGAGCAGAAGTGCTTGAGAGAGGGAAAACTAGAACCCATAGCATGGTTGTAGTTGAAAATGGGATTAGTCATAAGAGATGGCAGGAGTGTTTGGAAAGGGCTAGAAACTGTGCTGAGGGGGTTGTTGTATCTGAAACGGAGAACTGTTAAAAACCTATAAAGTGCATTGGCCTTTTGATTGTCTTTTCGAACTAATGACAATCATCATTTTGTTCTGGTGTATTATATTCTTCCTTCCTGTCTTTAATTATTTATTTGTGTTTTCATCGATCAAAAATTTCCTTTGCACTAGGCAGTATACAAGGTACTGGAGATATAATGCAGAGACAGCCAAATGAGTTCCCCAAGCAAATAGGGATGTGAGCCATGAGAAGGATAAAACAGAGTTCTGCAATGACTGCTATTCGTGCTGTATCTTGCCTGCTACAATCCATTCTCCATGTAACAGTCATTCTCTGCATTTGAGCTGAGATGAGTAACAAGGTGGTGCTATCTATGGCAGGAGCTGGAGGCAGAGGAAACAGCAAATACAAAGGTCTTGAGTTGGTAATGAACTTGTGTGTGTGGAATCAAAGACCAGGATGGCTGCAGTCTGCTGAGGGATGGAGGGGGTGATGGGAAATGAGTCTAACAGCAGTATTCAGAGTCATAGGGCATTATGGGCCATGACAGAGTTTAGGTTTTACCCTGGTTGCAGTGGCAGACCATTGGAGGGGCTTAAGCAAGGAATGAGGTGCCACGGTTTGCGTTTTTAAGCTTGTTACTCTATGTAGAGAATGACTCTTAACGTGGAGAATGGATTGTAGCGGGCAAGAGCAGAAGGAGAAAAACCATCTGGATTTACTTCACTAGTCTGGGTTAGAGATGGTGGAGGCTTGTTCTCAAAAGTGCTAGCCAAAGTCAAGATAAGGACAGATGTTGATGGGTTTGGAATATATTTTGGAGGTAGGATTGATAGGACTGGATTGGTTGTGGGACATAGGGAAAGGAATAAATCAGGAAATACCCTAAGATTTATGTTAATGCAATTGTATAGGTGGTAATGCTATTTATTTGCTGAAATGGGGGTGACAGGATGGATGTCACCATGGGGAGTGGTGGGAATCAGGAGTTATGTTTTGGCAATGTTAGATTTAAGACATGAATTAGACATCGAAGTGGACATTAGATTAGGCAGTCGGATAAACTAGTTTGGAACTCTGGAGAGACCAGTGCTGAAGCTTGCAGTGGTATTTGAAGCCATGGGGCTAGATGAGTTCATGTAGAGAGAATGAGAAGAGCAGAGGCCGTGAGGTCTGATCCCTGGACCAGCTCAACATTTAGAGTTTGAGTAAAGGGAGAAAGATCCTACAGTGAGAAAACAGGAAAACTGAAGAGTGTGGTAGGATTCAGAGAAAAGAGAATGTTTAAAGAGGATGGTGGTCAACTGTTGTGAATTCTGCTTGGAAGTTAGGATTAGGATGGAAAGGGGATCACAGAGGTGGCAGAGAGGTCATTGTTGAGCTCAGCATGCAGTTTCAATGGCATGGTTGTCTTGGAAGCTGACAGAAGTAGGTTTACAAGAGAACAGGTTGTGAGAAAGTGTCACTAGAAAATTTTTGAGAAACATTTGATAAAGATTTATTTTAACAGTATTTTTAAAGCCCATGTATACATTTGACATGTAGAGGGACTCAAAATGAATTTTCATAACATCCGTATTCTAGAACTCCTAGATTTGAACTTATAAAGTCTCATATTTCTCTGTCTTGACATTTATGTCATCCAACAAAAATTGGTGACAACACTAAGGTAGGAACATAATTGATTTATTTTTTTTAAGAGACAGAGTCTCACTCTGTCATCAGGCTGGAGTGCAGTGGTGCCTTTGTGGCTCACTGAAGCCTCCAACTCCCGGGTTCTTCAAGCGATCCTTCCACCTCAGTCTCCCAAGTAGCTGGGACAGCATCACCACACCTAGTTAACTTTTTAATTTTTTTTATAGAGACTGGTATCACCATGTTGCCCAGGCTGGTCCCGAACTCTTAGGCTCAAGTGATCTTCCTGCCTCATCCTCCCAAAGTGCTGAGATTATAGGCATGAGCCACAGCACCCAGCCATAATTGATTTTTTTTTTTTTTTTTTTTTGAAACGGAGTTTCACTCTTGTTACCCAGGCTGGAGTGCAATGGCGCGATCTCGGCTCACCGCAGCCTCCGCCTCCTGGGTTCAGGCAATTCTCCTGCCTCAGCCTCCTAAGTAGCTGGGATTACAGGCACGCGCCACCATGCCCAGCTAATGTTTTTTGTATTTTTAGTAGAGACGGGGTTTCACCATGTTGACCAGGATGGCCTCGATCTCTTGACCTTATGATCCACCCGCCTTGGCCTCCCAAAGTGCTGGGATTACAGGCTTGAGCCACCGTGCCCGGCCATTTTTTTTTTTTTTTTTTTTTTTGAGATGGAGTCTTGCTCTGTCGCCCAAGCTGGAGTGCAGTGGTGTGATCTCGGCTCATTGCAGCTTCTGCCTCCCAGGTTCGAGCGATTCTCCTGCCTCAGCCTCCTGAGTAGCTGGGACTACAGGTGTGCGCAACCCTGCCTAATTTTTTTTTGTATTTTTAGTAGAGACGGGGTTTTACCATGTTGGCCAGGATGGTCTCCGTCTCCTGACCTTTTGAACCACCATGCCTGGCTGATTTTTTTTGTTTGTTTTTGTTTTTTGAGACAGATTCTGGCTCTGTTGCTCAGGCTGGCATGCAATGGCACAATCTTGGCTGACTGCAACCTCTGCCTCCCGGCTTCAAGTGATTCTGCTGCCTCAGCCTCCTGAGTAGCTGGGATTACAGGTGTCAGCCACCATACCCGGCTAGCTTTTGTATTTTTGGTAGGGATGGGGTTTCACCATGTTGATCAGGCTGATCTCGAACTTCTGACCTCAAGTGATCCACCTGCCTGGGCCTCCTAAAGTGCTGGGATTACAGGCATGAGCCACTGCACTCAGCCCATAATTGATTTTTAGAATGTCACTTTGGTGGTGTAAATAAGAAGCTTCCAAAGGGTATATACTCTAGTACAAAGTATCTAGCAGCTATTTATTTTTCTTTCATAAATTTTATTTCAGTATATGAAAAATCCTTCTCCCCCCTTAGGTTTATGGGTTTTTTTTTTTTTTTTTTTTTTACTTTTTTTTTTTTTTTTTTTTTTTTTTTTTTTTTTTTATATAATACATATATATTATTAATTCTAAGGCAAATTTTTTTAGAATTTTAATATCTCTGACAGTTGGGGTGTGACTTAGAGAAATCAGTGGTGTCTTAAATTAGATGAAATGCAGTGTGATGTGAATATATAAAATATGTGATACTAGTGAATATATGTGTGTATATACATGCATGTGCATACGTTGATTGGGAGCTGGCCTACTATTAGATAGATTTGAAATCGGTATTCATGAGTACATTCGTTTCCTAAAGTGTATGGGATTATCATAGATCTACCATTGGACCTCTGTATGTTTTGCTGTGATTATCAGTGTTTTCCTTGGAGACTATTGGGGCAAAAGAGATAGGAGTGAAAGGAAAACTCAGCTAGCACAATATTAGCTTATTTATTTCGATGTTCTTTCTTCAATGAATATTTGTGGTAAAGGTACTAATTCTTTTACAAGAGGAATTTAAATGTGTGTTTCAATTTGAAGTCTTCCCTCATTTCCTTACTTTACTTCTTAAGAACAGCATTCACATGGCTACAGCAATAGGATTTTGTATGAGAGCCCATAGTTTTGTTGTCAGTATTAATGATCCCACTTTTTTTTCGCTCAAGGAAATACCTTCTGGTTGCTTTGCCACTATTGTTTCGATGCCTTATTTTGGATTTTTCTTCTAAAATTTTCCTGGAATGAAAATCATTGGTTGTTGAAAAGATCTTTATCTGGTTTATTTATCCCTTGTGAGTCCAACTAGAATTCCACATTTTAAATGTTATTCTTATAGGGCATTTTACATTGAATGATGATGAATGTTTTTGGCCTTACATAAAAATATATATTTGTACAGTTGTGCAGCTGTTCAGTATAGGTTGCAATTTCATAGAAATTCATTTCCAGTTTGGCCATTAGGTGAGAATGTTGCTATAGCTTAGGTAGCACTACCTTCACATCTTTATAAATGTGTTTTAGGCAACTATCAAGCATGGGATTGCAGAATATATTTAATATAGATTTTTTATATGGTGTTTTATGATGTAAAATTGTAGGTTTGTCTTGGAATATTTTATTTAGATACATTTTCAGAACCTCTTTTCTTGGTCACTGCTGTTGTTTCTCTGATCTTTGGAAGACCACATTTAAAATATATAGAATCTTCAGTACGTTAGACTATTTTGGAAGGTAGGGAATTCATTTCAGTAGCTGGTTATAAATCTCAAATTTTCCTGTTTTTATTTTCATTCTTTCCATATCCAGAAAAGAAATCAATAAAATTCAGTATTTGTAGCAGTATAAAATTCCATCATTTGTAGTATTGATCCTAATTTTGATCAAGAGTAGTTTTATCAGGTTGGTTCATTTTGGATTTCTGTATCCTGGGATACCGCTTGCGGAGGATTATGATACATAAGTAGAACATATTTGAGAAATCATGTTGGAGGATGAAAACAGTGGTAAGAAGTGATCCTTGTCAAATCTGAGTTTGAGGTTTTGTTTGGTTTAATACAAGCTTCTATTTTATATTTAACATACTTCACCAGAATTCTTTACTTTCATTTAATACCAATGCTCGGGATTCTTCAGCTGCTTGTATAGTTCCATTTGAGTTCAACAGTATTCTGAGGTGCAACATCAGGTTTAGCTTTAAATCTTATTTTAAAAGTGTTAGGCTTTCATAAGCTTATGCAGTCTCACCTTGTACATTCCTCGCTATCAGTAATGTTTTTTCCTGGATTTTCTTCTCAGCAACCCGATAGCAGAAGGGTCAACTCTTCTGTTGGATTTTCTGTTTTGCAGCATACAAGCAATGACCCATATTGCTTTGTGGAATTTTATGAACACAGAGATGCAGCTGCTGCATTAGCTGCTATGAATGGGAGAAAAATTTTGGGAAAGGTAAGATAATAGGATGATGGCACCTTACGATACATGTATTTGCATGTCAAACTAGTTTGTATTCTTTCTAGGCAAATTTTTGGACAGATATTCAACTGCTGAGTGATGGTTTTGCTTTTTTCAGCTTAGTGCTTTTACAAAAATAACCCTGCTTGATAAATGATTTAATAAGTGGTAAGTGTTATAACTCATGACATGCCTAATAATTTTATTAAATATAATCTTCATTTTTAGGAGGTCAAAGTAAACTGGGCAACCACACCAAGTAGCCAGAAAAAAGATACTTCCAGTAAGTACTCCTGCTGCATTTTACTGTGGAAGAGTTCTGAAATGATCCTGGAAGCATTACCAGCTTAAATAGGGTTTTTTTTTCCCCTCCTCTAGAGTTGCCTTAAAAAGGTTTTAGTGGCTGATTTCTTAAGTATTTGATTACCAAATGCTCTGATTTCAGATCACTTCCATGTGTTTGTTGGGGATTTGAGTCCAGAAATTACAACAGAAGATATCAAATCAGCATTTGCCCCTTTTGGTAAAATATCGTAAGTATCATAATCAGTACTACACTCAGTTGTGATAGGCAGAACTGTATATGATTAACTTGTAATTGAATTAAGATTTTCTTTCTCTAGTTAGTATGACTTTGTTTTGTTTTGTTTTTTATTTTTATTTTTGGTTTGTTTTTTGAGTAGTGGATGTTGTTGAAAATGTTAATGTCATTTCAGTGTCTTGGGGTCTCGTTTTCATCTAATCTTGTGTATAATGTGTTAAAAAATTTTAAGTGATTGTTTGTTATCTTTGAAGCAGATGTTTGAATGGTAAAACTTATAAAGTCTAGCTTTTTGTCATATGTTTTCAAAATTTGGTGGTTAAGGGTAATGAATTAATCAAAAGTAAATATGATTTATACTGTGTAAGAGTTTAATAACTTTTATAGGAAGAATTTATAAATGGGGGAAAGTAGGTAAATCCTTGGATATATTGTGGTTAAATTGGAAATGTTCATGTTTTATTATGATAAATGTGTTTTGCTATTTTAGCTGTAAGTGAAAAGTACTATTATATTATTAAAATGTTTCAATGTATGAGTCATAAATGTGGGATTAATTAGTAGATGTTTTTTGTTAGTGATATTTGATTCTAGTTAAGAGGCAAATGTGGTTTGATTTTTAACAACATTTATGCTCAGTTACTATTGTTACTTGGTAAAAAATATATTGGAAAACAAAATGGTTATGAGTTCTAGAAAATGTTTATCATAATTTAGCTTTCTGATTAAAATCAGTTTATTTTGTATATTTCCTGTAGATTTAAATTAAACGTTTTAGTACTACTTTACAGGAGAATGTTTCAACTAAGAACAACAATTTCTCTATACAATTTGTTGTTCCGTAGATTTAATTTCTTTAAAAGATTTAATTCTTAACTTTCTGTTTTGATATTTGCTTTGCTTTTTAATCTAAATGTGGTAAGTAGTACTATTTTAAAAAATCAATATAAAAATAATACAGGTTGCTGTTTTTCAATCTTTATTTATACCTGAGACCTGCAGTTTTTCTTAAGTCCAAGTCACAATTAAAAGTAATAGCATTCTGGTTATTTTGCAGAATTGCTCATAAGAATGGACAGGATCTTGAAGGCTAACTGCAAGGAACTGTGCACACTGGAACTCAGTTGTAGATTTTTTTTCTCATTTCTATTTATTCTTATTATACATTATTTATATATACATATTTTAGTATTTACATTTTAACATTCTATATTCAGTGGAGTTCTATATTTCCAATCATTTAACTTACTCACTAAAATTTCTGTGTAAATTTGTTGTTTTCGTACTGGTGTGCTTAGCATTGTTGTTAGTTTTTTATTCTCCTTTCTTAAATTTCTGAAAATGTCAATTTTTCAAAATTTACAGCTGCCCAAACTCCAAAATGATGGTAGAGAATTGACCAAGAAAAATAAAGAAATCTGTTAACAGGCCATGTATGCCTTTTTAATTCCTATTTTTTCCTCTTTTTCAATTTTTTAATATTTCATATATTTTGTATCACTAGGCAGAAGACATTTAACTATTTAGAGATTGCATGGTAAAGTAGTTAGTATTGTTACAGTAATTTATAGAATCAGTAAACCTTAGAGGACACTAGTAAATAGAATATTATAAAAGGAAACTGTTGTTCCTATTAATCTTCAAATTTGAGCATTTAGTTTAGAAAGCACAGGCTATTTGATTAGGTTGCATGTTTATTACATGTTTTTGTCCTACTGCTTTTTTCTAACAGGTAAAGAAGCATTAGGGAGAGTTCAGGAATGGTTGTAGTTAATTAGGGCTAACTGGAATTTTATTTTAAAAATGCTCACAATACAGTGTGTGTGGTTCCTTTTAGTTTTTATTTTGAGGGTGACTCTTACTTCCCTCATTTAGCTGTGCTTCTTTTCACAGGGATGCCCGGGTAGTTAAAGACATGGCAACTGGAAAATCCAAAGGCTATGGTTTTGTATCTTTTTATAATAAACTGGTACGTTCTTCCAACTCAATTTATATTTTTTAATACTACATTTAGTCATTAGTTACTTAGTGTGTCAAATCTGAAACTTGAATACACTTGAAAGTTAACTGCAAACACAACTTTTATGTAATGTTATATAAGTTTTAATAATAGAGTATAATTTCATTCTTTCATAAACTCAAAAATAAATACCTAGACAAAGATAGAATGACTATACTATAAGGAAGATTATTAAAATTGCGTTTGTACATTGGTAAAGGTGTCAGATACATTTAGAAGTAAAGCCCAAGTCTAGGACAGATGAACTAATCTGAGACTTTAGAGGGTAGGTAAATTGTATTCAGTTTTAACCATGAATGTCTATTTTAACTCTCCCTTTTAAATTATTATTCATACCTTATATAAGTGAGATGTTAATGGCTATAGCAAATTATGTAAATAAAAATTCAAGCAATCATCTTGATTTTTGCATATATTCTTTGTAAAAGAGGTACCAAAATAAGCATTTGCATTAACTGTAACGTTGAATGATAAAGTGGGCAAATCGATTTTTTTTTTTTTTTTTT